GTGTCAAGGGGTATATTAATTTCAATATATTAAAAGATTCAATCTCCCCAAAAGAGGGCCCAAATTTCACACAGTTACAAAACCAGCTCAAATTCGTGCCCATTTTCCCTTTTATTAATTTCAATATATTAAGGAAGTACAAATGTTTTTGCTACATGGATACCTTGTATAATGCTTAAGTCAGGGCTTTTAGTGTGCCCATCACCAGAATCGTGTTCATTGTATCCAATAGGTAAGTTGTTACCCCTCACCACTCCCATCCTCTCCCTTTTTGGTTTCCAGTGATATTTTCATCTCTTTGTGCCCATGTGTGCCAACTGTTTGGCTCTCAATTATTAGAGAGCACATGTAGTGTTTGTTTTTCCATTCCTGAGATACTTCACTTGGGATAATGGCCTCTAATTTCATCCAAGTTGCTGCAAAAGACATTAATTCATTTCTTTTTATAGCTGAGTAGTACTTCATGGTATATATATTTTCTTTATCTACTCATAAATTGATGGGCAATTAGGTTGATTCCACATCTTTGCAATTGTAAATTGCACTGCAATAAACATTTGAGTGCAGGTGTCTTTTTGAGAAAGTGACTTATTTTCCTTTGGATAGATACCCAGTAGTGGGATTGCTGGACTGAATGGTAAGTCTACATTTATTTCTTTAAGGAATCTCTATACTGTTTTCCAAAAAGGTCATACTAATTTGCAGTCCCACCAACACTGTATAAGAATTCCTTTCTCTCTGTATCCATACCAGCATCTATTGTTTTTTGACTTTTTAACAATGGCCATTCTGACAGGGGTAAGCTGGTATCTCATTGTGGTTTTAATTTCCGTTTTCCTGATGATTAGTGATGTTGAGCATTTTTTCATGTATTTGTTGCCCATTTGTCTATCTTCTTTTGAAAAAGTTCTGTTCGTGTATTTTGTGTATTTTTTAATGTGGCTTTTTGTTTTTTCTTGTCAATTTGAGTTCTTTGTAGATTCCGGATATTGGCCCTTTATTTGATGTATCGTTTGAGAATACTTTCTCCCAGTCTGTAAGTTGTCTATTAGCTCAACAGATTATTTCCTTTGCTGTGCAGAAACTTTTTAAATTTAATTAATTCCCATTTATTTATTTTTGTTGTTTCTGTATTTACTTTGGAGGTATTAGTCATAAATTCTTTGCCTTGGCCAATGTCTAGAAGAGTTTTTCCTACATTTTCTTCTAGAATTTTTATGGTTTCATGCCTTACATTTAAGTCTTTTCTCTATCTTAAATTAATTTTTGTATGTGGTGAGAGATAGGAATCCTGTTTCTTTCTTCTAAATGTAGCTATCCAGTTTTCCCAGCACCATTTATTGAATAGGGCTTTCTCTCCCCATTGTATGTTGGTGTCTGCTTTGTGGAAGATCAATTGGTTGTAGGTAGATGGTTTTATTTCTGGGTTCTCTATTCTGTTCCATTGGCCTATGTCTCTACTTTTATACCAGTACAATGCTGTTTTTGTTACTATAGCCTTGTAGAATAATTTTAAGTCAGGTAATGTGATGCCTCCAGATTTGTTCTTTTTGCTTAAGATTGTTTTGGCTATTCAGGCTCTTTTTTGGTTCCAAATGAAGCAAATAATTTTTTTTCTAGATCTGCGAACTATGACATTAGTAGTTTGATGGAGACTGTGTTGAATGTATAAATCGCTTTGGGCAGTAAGGACATTTTAATGGTGTTGATTCTGCCAATCCATAACCATGGGTTATTTTTCCATTTGTTTTTGTCATCTAAGATTTATTTCATCAATGTTTTGTAGTTCTCCTTGTAGAGATCTTTCACCTCCTTTGTTAAGTATGTTCCCAGGTATTTATTTTCTTTGCATGTTCACTTTTTTTTTTTTGAGACAGAGTCTCACTCTGTCGCCCTGGCTAGAGTGCCGTGGCATCAGCCTAGCTCACAGCAACCTCAAACTCCTGGGCTTGGGCAATCCTCCTGCCTCAGCCTCCCGAGTAGCTGGTACTACAGGCATGCGCCACCATGCCCGGCTAATTTTTTTTATATATTTTTAATTGTACAGCCAATTTCTTCCTATTTTTAGTAGAGACAGGATCTCGCTCTTGCTCAGGACGGTCTAGAACTCCTGACCTTGAGCGATCCTCCCGTCTCGGCCTCCCAGAGTGCTAGCATTACAGGCGTGAGCCACCGCGCCCGGCCTATCATTTTATTTTTAAAATCTGCTATAGCCCTATTGCATTAGGATTCAAATTTTATTTCAAGTACATTTAAAACTACTATTTTGATTGCTCTTTTGATTAAAGGAGTTAGAAATTTTTACCCATTGATCTTCTATTTGAAACATAGACATTGTATAATATTTTAATGGCTATAAATTTTCCTATTTCTCAAGAAGAAAATTTCCTCAAGAAAGTAAAGTGAGGCGGCCTGAACGTGCTCGCGCCAGCTGGACCCGAGCGGAGGGAGCGCCCTGCTCTCACGGGGAAAATGGAGCGCGAGCTGCACCTTTTGGAAAGAGAAAAGCATGGGGCAGATTGTGCTCAGGGAAGGAGAGGACATGGCTGGAGCAGCCGCAGAGCACCAGCGGTTAGCGAGTTTATTCTGAGCTCGGAGTCGGTAGCGCCAGCAGCTGAAGTTAAACGAAGGAGGTTGGGAGGTGAAAATTCCATCATTTAGGTTCCCAGTTCCTGGCAAAGCCAGGC